AAAAAAAAAAAAAAAAAAAAAAAAAAATATAAAATAAATGAAAAAAAGAAATGAGAAAGTAAAATAAATGAGAAAAAGAAATAAAAATAAAATGAAATAAAATATTAGAATTAAGTTTAAAATAATTAAAATAAAATAAAAGAATCAAATTAGTTAAAAAAAAAAAAAAGAAAAAAATAAATTATGCTTTTTAATTATATGTATCCCTTTCTATAAAATAATGTACTTATTTTTGTTTATATATAAATGTATAGTGTGTCATTTTATTTTTTGAAAATATTTCATAAAAAAAATAAAATAGATTTCTTTTAAAATATTCATAACTCATAAAAGTATTTTATAAATAAAATAAATTAGAAAATGTAACTTTTATATATTAAATTAATAATTTATATTAACTATTGGATTATTAAAAAACTTAAAAACAGTCACCCCTTAAAATGCTTATTTTTACGAAAGTTTAAATTATACTATTATTAAATTTAATATATATATATATTACAAAATAAAATAATAAAAATGATATTAATAAAATATTAAAAATAAAAAATAAATATATACAAATATTTTCTTTATAAATTTGGAAAAATTATTATTTAAATAACATTTTTAAAGATAAGTATAGTATTAATTTTGTTGCTTAATTTTTATGTTTAAATATAATACGGAAAAAATTGTATGTTTATTATATTTATCTTTGACATTGAATTTTTAAAAAAAAAAATTATTTTTTAGAGATTAGTTGTTTTAATATATATATACTTCTGTTTTTTTTTTTATTTAAAATATTTTTACAGAGTTCAAATCTTATTTAATATTGTGTTTATAGTTTTTTTTTTTTTTTTTTTAATGTAACGTAAATTTTTTATTTTTATTCCAATGTATCATGAATAATTTATTTTTCAATTTTTCAATTTGCATTAAGGTTACATTTAAGATACAGGAAATACGATTATATATAAATATTTTGGATAAAAAATGAAAATTTTTTTCCAAAAATTGTCACATTTCAAATTAGGAAAAAAATAAATATCTTTATATATATTCAAAATGAATAATAAAATAAACATATTCGTACATTATATATATATATATTACTATAAATCATTTGTTAACTTGAAATTAATCAATTGCTTAATATTAAGAATAACTGTTTTCTAAGGTATTTTCATTATACTAGTCAAAATTGATTAAAATATTAAATTAAACCTATCACTTAATAAATTATATGTAGTCAAAAAAATTATAACGAATGTATTGGGATTATATAAGAACATTATATATAATAACCACACATAAAAAAAAATATGTATAATTGCTTTATATTTGTTTCTTTAAAGAAAATTATGATATTATATGTTATATAAATTTTTATTATTATTTTATTTTATTTTATTTTTTTTTTTTTTTTTTTGTATAAAATATATATAATAATAATATTTCTCTTTTAAGTCTTTAAATAATTATTATTGTAAGAATTAACTTATGCATATATAATTTATATATTTTATATATGCTTAAAAATATTTTTCTTTCTTAAATTAAATATTTTTAATACATGTATATATAATGTAGGAAATATACATATATATATATATATATATATATATATATATATATGTATATATATATATATATATATATGTATATATATAATATTTTTATTATAATTTGAATTATTGGATAAAAAAGATCTTTATTTTTCATTAGCCCTTTTTTTCAGAAATTTTTATAAAAAAAGTTTTAATTTTTATTTAAAAAAAAAAAAGAGTTTACTTTAAATTAATCCTTATTTAATTTATCTCAAAAATAAAAACTCTAAAATGTGCATGCATTATTTTGCTTTTTTCCTTAAAAATAGAAATAAGGGAAAAGGGAAAAAGGGAAAAGGAATAATTGGGAGTAAAACAATGTTATTTTTATTATTAAAGAAATTTTATTTTTTTTTATAATATTTAAATATTTATAATTGTTTTATTTTTTCTCTTTTTTTAACAGCATTAAAATAAAAGAAAAAAAATAAAGGCTTAAAAATAAATATTCTTAAAGTGTAAGTTTATTAGGTTAGAAAACTCTCATTAAGAATTCTAAGATTGGGTAATTAATAATGCACTTATATTTATTTTCCTCTTTATTTTCCTTTATTCTTTTTTTCTATTAAAATATTGAAGAACTTCTAAATTATTATTTTAAGATATTAAAAAAAAAAAAATGAAAAAAAAAAAAAAAATAAAATAAAACAAGTAATATTTAGTTTTACTTAAAAAAAAAAAATAAGCAGAAAGTTATACTAAACTTTGTGTAATTATTCTTATAAAAATTTCACATAATACATATATGTTTATTAAGAATATTTTGTGTTTCATAAAAATATTAAAAAAAAAAAATGAAATAAAGTAAAAAAAGTTATCTAAAATAATTAAAAAAAAAAAAATTCCATAATTTTATTTTTTAAATAAATGATTTACATATTTACTTTTTACTAATTTTTTTTCTTTATATTTTAATGAAAGACTCATTTTTATGCATTACATAATTAAAGTAAAATAATTTAATTATAAAATTGAAATTATATTTTAAGCTGGAACTTCAAGTATTTTTAAGTTTCCTATTTTTTATGTTCATATATTAAAGTATTTTATTTTTGTTTTTATCTAATTTTTTGTTGCTTCATAATATTCATTCTATGTTATTAACTTAATAAAATAAAAAATTACAACTTAAATATGAAAGGATACACATTATTAAACTTTTTACTTTTACAATGAGTTTATTTAAGTACTTAATAATTTTTATTTTTATAAGGAATATAAAATTAAGAAAATTATTTTTAATAAATTGTAAAATGTTAAAACAAAAGTCATTTTTACATTGCACCATTTTTTAACCATTTGTTTATATTTATATTTATTATATGTTTTTTTTTTTTTTTTTTTTTTTATGTAATTTCTTTACACATTTCTTTTTTCTTTTATTTTCATTTAATTTACATACGTTTTTCCATATTTATATAAAATTTTTATATATGCTCTTTTTTTTATCTTTATGGGCTTTTTGTTTTGTGTTGTAATATTAGAAATTTTAATATAATACATTTTTTTTTTTTTTTTTTTTTTTTTT